AAATATAAATAAAAAGTATTCTTATTTTAAGGTATTTTTATAAGAAGTCCATTTATTGCAGAGTTTGTACACAACTATAATCCATACCTGGATCGACTGTGATGACCATAAGAACTACTTCTGGATCGGCTTCGGCTGTAGCTTCGACTGACAGAAACAAAACCACAGAGACATCTTAAGGTAATAAAATACAAGGGAGCAGGGGCAGAGGGGGAGCAAGAGGAGCACAACATGTCCTGCAGTACCTCCAAACAGACAAACTTACCTACGACTCTTGTAACTGTGGTAAGAACTGCTTCGACTCCTTGAGCGATCTCTGCTGTACCACCCTCTGCTTCTGCTTCTCGAGTAGCTTCTTGACCTACAGTGAACAACAGGACAGAACAGAACTGAAGAGGAAGCAGAAAAAAGTTATAAATCTTTATCTTTTAAGCTAAGTATTTATTCCACGCTTGGCCATTAAGTTGATCACAGGGCAGGAGCACCTCTGAGAGCTGGGGGTGTTCATCCAGGAGAAGAGAAGGCTCCAAGGACATCTTGGAGCCCCTTCCAAGTGCTTGAAGGGGCTCCAGGAGAGCTGGAGAGGGACCTGGCATAAGGGATGGAGGGACAGGACAAGGGGGAATGGCTGTAAACTGACAGAGGGTAGGTTTAGACAGGATATTGAGAAGAAATTGTTTCCTATGAGGGTGTTGATGCCCTGGCACAGGTTGCCCAGAGAAGCTGGGGCTGCCCCATCCCTGGAAGTGTCCAAGGCCAGGTTGTTCAGGGCTTGGAGCAACTTGGGATAGTGGAAGCTGGATGGAATGACATGGTGCCTTCCAACCCAACCCACTCTATAATTGTGTGACACCGTGCTGTTCAAAAGAAAAACATGAGCTGAGAAAGGAAAACATGCCTTGAAAAGATGAAAACTTCAAGTTCCCAGGGCAGGCTGTGGGAGCAGCACCAGCTTCTTACCTGTATGAATATGTAGAACTTCGAGATCGACTTCTGGAGTGACTGTAGGATATGGACCTTGTTCTGTGTCTGGATTTAGACCCAGATTTACTCCGTGATCTACTGAGGCTCCTGGATGGACTGTTGTCATCTCTGCTTGGAGATTCCTCCTCGCTGGAACTTTCCTGGTTCCTGGGCCGCCGATTGAGCCGGGCTGTTTTCCTGACCTCATCAAACAGAGACCCAGGCCTTACTTTATTCTTGGCTTTTATTTCAATCCTTAAACCTGCTGGTTTAGGCTCTGGTGCTACTGCTACACTCTTAACCTCCGTGGCTGTACTAATTGCTGCTGGTTGTAGGTTACCAACACCCTGCAAAGGCTTCCATTTATTGTCTATCATATTGCTTTGTGGATTTTCAGTCATTTCACTTTTCAAACCACAGTCTTTAGCACCAGACAGAGAGTTATTTTCTTGCCTTCCTGTTTCTTTTTCTTCTTTAATGTGAATCAAGTCTCTAATGTTGTTTCCTAGTTTGACAGCATCTTGCTCAGGGGTCTCAACCTGTAGCTCTTTTTTTATAGCAGCACTTAAAGCCTGGGGTTTAGGAGTGAGAATGACAGGAGACAAAACGTCCACATCCACCTTCCCTGGCGAGTTACGATCCGGAGTACAGATCTCCATGTTGTCATCTGTCTGAATAACGTCCTCCAATCCGTTCTGGTTACTTTCTTCAGCTTGTTTAATCTCATTCTTGCAGGCAGAAACGTTTATTCCTGAGTTTAAAGCACCAGTTGAAGCGTTTGTTTCAATGTTCTCTTTATTAAGGTTGCTGCGATCTGGGGAGGCCTCACCTGTGGTGTTTTTATCTAAAAGGTTTTCACTCCCACACGACTTTTCACCGTTTCCCATTTTATCTGTGACTATTTCATCCTTTTCATAAACTTGTTTTTTATCCTTTATGTCCCTGGTAAGCTGCTTTTCTTTTTTATCATCCTTGGCAACTGGCTTTTCATTTATCTCATCGTCCTCTTCTTCACCAAACTCGAGGGGGGGCTGCCAATGAAACATCTCTTTTCTTTTCTGGACTTTGTGTTTTTTCTCCTTTTTCCCTTTGGATTTTTCTTTTGGCTTTTTGGAATGTGATTTCTTAAGTTGTTTTTTCAACCCATGCTTGTGTTTTTTTGACTTGCCTCGAGTGTCTGCTGAGCTGGAACAGGAACTGTTGGATTCAGAAGATGACAACTGTTTGTTTGTCTTCCAATCAGAGTCCAAAAAGCCTTCGGAGGAATTGGATTGTTTCTTTATCCTTTTGGTGACACTGAGCTCTGTATCAGACCCTGAGGTGGCCTCTCCTTCTTCTTTACCAGAGGAGGGTCTGGAATCCCCCCTATTATGCCTTGCCTCTCCTCTTTCAGAATTTGACTCTGAGTCCCATTTGCTGCCTGAGTAGGATTTCCGTTTCGTTTTTGCCCCTCCTCTGGGTTCCTCCAGAAACTTCTCCTTCCCTGCTTTCCTTTTGGAGTGATCAGAATCCCGCTCACACTTGGACTTCTCCTCCCCTCTCTCAGAACTCAAGCTATTTTTATCCTGTTTCTGAGCGTCCCCTTCTAATGGAAAACGACTTTCCTTCTCTGGGACCGCTTTCGCTTTGGCGGAGCGCTCGCTGTCGCTGGAGAAGTCTGAGGATGACAAAGTGTCGCTCTCCTTCAATCCTTGGGAAGACTCATCGTAGTCTTTGGGATGCTTGTGAGGCAGGGGACTTTCCGAGCTCGTCTCCTGCCTCAGTTTGGAGCCCCGAGCTTTCTGATCGCTGGACGTGGATTTCCTTTTGTTCCCGTGCCTGTCCTCGTCGCTGAGGGAATAGTAAGACGTGGACTCGCTGTACCCCGACCGGTCACTGCGGTATTTGCTCGGTGACGGGGACCTGCCAGAAGAGCGGGATTTTGTCCTAGAGCTCGATGGACTTCTGGATCTTGTGTAGGATCTGGAGTAGGACTGACTTCGGGAGGACCTGCTCCTGGACCTCGGCCAACTCTCCGAGCTCCTGTCGCTGCGGCCCTTGGAATACCCGCTCCGATCGCTCTCCGAGCTCCTCTCCCGCTTGCGGTAGGAGGAGGAGGTGTTGGCCTCTTTAACGACCACCAGGCTGTAATTAGGTTGGGTGGGTATTAAATGGGTTGTTTTAGCTTTCATTTCCTGAATTCGCTCATAGGATGGCTTCCATGGTTTCTGCCCAGGTTTCCACCTGGAGGGAGGTGGACTGTCGCTTAAGGGTATCACAGGGAGGTTTTCTGGGACAACTGGTGGGACGACAACTTTGTCACTGGGCAGAAGAACTGCTCGGACGGGCTCGGCTGCCTTGGTCAACTTACTGTCATTTAATCGGGTTGAAATATTCCGTGGAGAACTGGGAACAGTCTTTTGCTGCCTGGGGTTAGAACTGGACCTTGACCTACTTCGAGAACGTGATGATTTAGAGGCTGATCTCGATCTAGAACTTCTTCGGGAGTAAGACCTTGATTTAGACCTGGATCTGGATCTGGACCTGGACCTGTAGTAAGAGCGAGACCCTCTGCTTGATAAAGATGATGAGCTCTGATCTTCCTTATCAGACTTGGACCAGTCCCTTCTGGATGAACGCCTAGAAGACAAGGAAGAAGAACGAGATTTCCTCTCACGATCACAAGATGACTTTGTCCTCCTGTGGAAGGAATGAGAAGATTCCACGTCTGATGAGGCCGAGGCTTTCTTTTTTTTCGTTTGCTTGTGCTTCTTGAAATGCTTCTGCTTTTTAGATTTCTTTTTATGCTTCACCTTCTTCTTTTCTTTCCTGTGCTTCTTGTGATGGCTGGAGTATCTCGTGGTGTTTAGATCAGCATAACCATTATGGGACCAGGACCTGGATCTCCGGGATGCACTTCTTTCATCCCATCTGCTTGTACATGGGTCACTCAACCTGGAAAACAAAGCAGAAAGCCCCACCCTGAGTGGAAATTCTTTTAAAGCTTCAGATAAATTAAGTATTCTTAAACTTGATTTTACATCAAGATATAAGAACCTGACACACACACACACACTCTACTACCAGGCAATTATGTTCTGACTGAGCTTCTTACACTCATTTTAAGAATTACATCACTACCAAGAGCTACTTCTCTCTAAGAAATAAATCAGCCAACATCAGCAAATTTTGCATATTGTAGAACCCGTGTGAAGAGATTTAATGTTTTAATTACCCTAGTCTGCAGGACTTTGACCTCTACAACTGCAGGATTCTCAAACCACTTCTACATATTAGTATTATTAAATATTAAATATTACTATTATTACTAACATTAACATTGTTGTTATATTATTAGATATTAGTAAATATTTAAATTTTAAAACATATCTCAGTACATAAAAAAGAACCACCAGAAACATTTGCAATTATTCAATAATGGTTACACACAGTATTTTTCAGTTTTCCTTGTGAGGTTTCTGTCTCATAATTTGACAGAAGCTCATATTTAGTATCAAGTCAGACATTTTGGAGAGCTGGCTTCCATCCATCACACAGTTTGCAATTGCAGAAAGAACATATAACCAAAACAATAAAGGGTCGGTGGATTCAGTTGTCTCACTTGGTACCAAATGAATCCATATCACCCAGTTTGGGGCTAAAGGAAACCATGGAAGTTTTAAGGTTGGAAAAGACCTTTAACGTGACCAAGTCCAATGTTAACCCAACACCACCACCTTGTTCACCACCAAACCGTGTCACAGAATCAACCCGGTTGGAAAAGACCTCTGAGATCATCCAGTCCAACCCTTGATCCAACCCCGTTGTGGTTCCCAGCCCATGGCACTGATGCCACATCCAGTCTCATCTAAAACATCTCCAGGGATGGAGAATCCACCCCCTCCCTGGGCAGCCCATTCCAATGGCTGAGCACCCTCTCTGGAAAACATTTCTTCCCAATATCCAACCTGAACCTCCCCTGACACAGCTTGAGACTGAGCTCTGTTGTCCTACTGCTGGCTCCTGGGAGAAGAGCCTGACCCCCATCTGGCTACAACCTCCTGTCGGGGAGTTGCAGAGAGTGAGGAGGTCTCCCCTGAGCCTCCTCCTCTCCAGGCTGAGCCCCCCCAGCTCCCTCAGCCTCTCCTCACAGCACTTGTGCTCCAGACCCTTCCCCAGCCTCGTTGCTCTTCTCTGGACCTGCTCCAGCCCCTCCATGTCCTTCCTGAACTGAGGAGCCCAGAACTGATGTCCTGAAGAGCCACATCCATGTTTTCTCTGAACGATTCCAGGGATGATGACTCCACCACTTCCTTGGGCAGTCTATTCTTTACAATTTGTTCCATGAATTTTTTTTTTCCCCTAACATTTAATCTAAACCTTCCCTGGCCCAACTGGAGGCCGTTTCCTCTCGTCCTGGTACATTCACATGGTGCATCTACACAACGTGTTAAACACTGTGTAAAAAAACCCCAGACTATAAAATTTATGAGAGGGATCTTACTTATCTCCTTTGCTCCACTTCTCCCCACTGGGAGGTCGGTATGTCCTCAATCTCTGCATCTCCTCTTTCCAGTGAGGAGGGGTCTCACTGCTCTCGTCATCCTCGGATTCGGAACACGACCGGGATCGAGGGGGGGTGTGGTATCGCTGTGAAAGCACAGAAAAAAACACATTATGCAACTTTCTTACATAGCAAACTGTGTCTTTTCATACCCAGGATGTTTTACAAAGCCTGAGGGGGGCCAGAAGCTCACCCTTTTTTCTTAAACATAAAAGGAAGGATCAAGGAAGAGGCCATGGGTTCCCAGTTACTGCAGATAACTACCTTTTTTATCAGGATGTTAAAGCACAGATGTTTCACTTCAGTTAGCAGACACTTAACTGCTCATATGAGCAAAGACAAGCCCTATTCCAAAGTTACTGCTGTTCAGCTCTGCAGAAATGAGAATC